TCATCATGATTTTTTTTTTTATATTCTGAGTTACTAATGTATCGCTTTATACTGGCATGTCGTCGTATTTTGTTATTTTGTTTTTTTTTTATTTTGTTTATTAGTATTGTTAAAAACATTCTCATTTTTGCTTTATATATATATTTTCTATATATTCTGGATTAAGTGGAAGAGCAGTTGGTTAATAACCAAACTGAACTTCGTCCAGAAAATAAGTCTATTTTCTAAGAGTGTATTATTATTTTCTTTCCTTTTTTTGCGACTTATTAGTAAAGGCATTATTATTATTATTATCACACATATACCAGAGGGTTAAAAGGGGTGAACCACCCTTTTTTTTTCGGATTTATTTAAAAACCATCCTATCGATTTTGATGACGTAAAATATACTTGTAGTGCATTCAAAAATATTAGCTAAGTGTTTTCTCTCATTCATCGTAGATCAACCCTAGTGATGTTACGACGGTTAACATGTAACTACTTTTCGTAAGAATGATGTGGTAAAACTGTCAGGTATTTTGAAAATACTTTAAACAAAACCGTAAATTAGTCACGCAATAAAATGTTTAGTGTAAAATAAGGCATACATTAACCATTAATTAATTGCCTTAAACTCTGGCAGCTTTGGACCGAGGGTAACAACTGCAATGCTTAAGGCAGACAATATATACGTTTTGGCATCAAAATCTGGAAAGTTAACTTCAGAACGCATGAAAAATTGGCTACAAAATGTATATTTTCCAAATACTGGTTCTAAATCATTATTATTATTAGATTCTTGGAGTGGCCATTGTCCTGAAGTAGGACTTGCAATACCGGACCAAAATCTCAATACCGGTATTCGGTATTCAAAATTTTTAAAACCGGGATTAAATTACAATCACTAAAACATATATCTAATTGTTAGAATTTTTCCTCTCTGCGACGTCACCTCTACTAATAATATGTTAATTCCTACTATATTTTTAGATTGGCAACAAAGCATAAGATACAGAATCTGAGAAGATAATCAAAAAATGGAAAGATATTAGGAATCTGTACAAAGTACCAATAAACTTAAAGGTCTGGATACCATTATTGTTTTGTGGTCTTTCACTTGGTCCAAAGGTTCAACTTCACTGCCGCGTCAAAAAATGTAATTACACTTCATCATCTGAAGCTCTGTGGAATTCTTTCGAATTCCTGCTTTGGAATTTTCTGGAAAGGTGCAGATTCAAGAAAGAAACTTTAACATAATGGCTCTTGGTAGTTTGTCAGACTTATCATACTACTGTTATACAACTGTTATACCTGGTGGGACATTACACGAATCAAACTGACCTGAAACACCATTATGGACTAAAAACTCCAAAAATAGTTGTATGCAGAGAGTATTTTATTGTTGGATAGGTATGAGAAATTTATTGAACACGAACATTAAGTTGTCGTCATCAAAGGTTAAGTCTCCGTTATCTTCAACATTCTGTCAGAGTGCAAAATGATATTTCTTGTAGATGGTATTCACACTGATCAAAAAATGTCACTTGAGAAAATGAGATTAGTACGGACGATAGATAACAAATTTTTGTTTGGTCAACATCATTTTCCAGCACAGCTTTAAACAAACACGTCCGTTTTCAATCGGTCGCTTCCGGCTAGCATTTTTTTAATGAAACGTCAAAAACTGTAACTTGAAAATGTAAATTAGAATGGACAGAAAATAGATAACAAACTCGAATCCTCTACGTCATTTTCCAGCACAACTTTAAACTAGCACGGCCCTCGGCAGGCTATCGAGGGCTATGAATACGAGAATTAATTGATGAATACTATTGAATCCAAAGACCTACAGGAAAATTAAAAAAGATTCCACCTATAAAATAGTTAGGAAAATGATAAACCTAATTAAATCGGTGGATACTCCACCACAGAAATAATAAAGCGTGGTTGTACAAGCGTCAGTAGCACCAAGAATCTATGGTTTACCAAAAATCCATAAGCTAGAAGAAGAATTGGACAAGCAGCCACCATTCCTCGATGTACCAATAACCAGAACCAATAATGAACAATTTAAATATGGAGTGTACCGGAAGAAAACACACAAGGACAGGTGCAAGCTTCATCACACCACCACCCATAATTTACATAATAACATGTCCCTAATTCGCACCAACTTCCAAAAAGCTAGGAGGTTATACCACAGAAATTAATCTTCATAAAAACAACATGAAAAATTAAAATAAATGATCTTATCGTCAAAAAACTAAGATGCAGCAAGCTAAGATGTATTAAATAATTTGTTGTGGAAAATAATTGGTTCGTCGTCGTTATTTGATAAGGAATTTTCCACATGATAATTTTTTCAGCATTTATGTCCTTTTGTTATTTTTTTCCAATTTTTACTCCCGTCAACTAGTAATAAGTAATTATTGTTATTCTAGTCGTACCTGAAAACGCTTTTACTAAAAGTGAAACACTGTAGTACCGAAATAGGAAAGTAAAAATATCATCGTGGATCATATTTCTTTTATTCTATTAATATTCACCATGATGAACGTGGAGGCCATAATCGGTATGTTCAAATTTGCACGCGGCATAACTGTGTCCTGCAAATGCAGAGTGTTGCTGTCGCTTGTTTCTGAGGAAGGTTGTAACGTAACAGAAGAAAGATAACACAGATCTGCAAGGTTTTATTATCAGTCAGGTGAGAGTCATTTCCGATGTAAGTTTCAGTGTAGAATCATAATCCGAGCTCAGAATTTGACTATCACGTCAGGATTTTGGGATATCTGAGGTTATGTACACGAAAAATGTTTCTTTTGCTACTTTTGAACTTATGTAAGAGATACACAATATTGTTTTGCTCTATTCTAGCTATTATATCATTCAGCACTATCCTTTCCCATCAAAACGCCTTCAACATTCCTTCATAATTTCGCGCTATGAATATGCTAGCACATGCTCAACACAAGAAGCAATCTGGCACAAGATCTGGCCGATTCAATCTTCGACCAATTTCATGAAACGGAATGCCTATCTTTGTTGAAGCGTTGCAATATTTTTGGCATGTAATGTACATAGAATACAGTAAAATAATATTGTGCGTGTCACGCATAACTCCAAAAATAGCCAAAAAAGCTCAAATATCTCACAATCCTGAAGTGATAGTGCAATTCTGAACTGGGATTCTAATTCCACGCAGAAAATTATATCGGAAATGATCATCAGCCAGCCAACAACAATCAGTTCTTTTTTGCAGATCTGTTTGTATAAATTACAACATTTATAAAAATTGATTTGAAATCACGAAATTTTCAGGACTTATATGAAAATGAATGGAGATTGTAGTAAGCTTTTTGTAATTATAACCAAGATTAAGATAAAAATGTTGTTGGCGATTAAATTGAAAACTATTAAAAATCATAAAAAAAGCTATTATCCCGAAAGCGTGTTGTGCAGGAATACCTGTTTTCGCAGAAATGACTTTAAACTCTCATAATCGATTTTTATTATGCACCGATACAAAGAACAGAAAATTTTCAATACGATTTATTCTTTAGTCTTTTATCCCTATCAAATTCTAAAGTTGTTTCAATGATCAACCAATTGAAGGGCTTCTTGCTAGAAAGTGACATGCCACACCTTCTGCAAAAATGAGATTTTGCTATTTTCTCATCATACAATAGTATGAGAAGCCGCATAAAAATTTTTACAAAGTTGTTCGTACAGATGGCTCCACTTATCATAATATCTCGCTCTTACATTAACACTGCAGCGTTAAAATCTGCAAGTTAGAACTTGACAAGCCAACAAAATGTTACTTTATTGCATTACATTTTCAGGATTTTCAGGACAATCCAGTTAAAGTGTGCAGAAGCCGTGTACTAGCTCCAAAATCTAAATGGAGGTCCAGAAACACGGACATGTGCGTGAAAACGAAAAGAAAAAGCTTAATTGAAGGCAAGTATACTCTTGCTCTTCCTCTCTTGAGTTATGCAATCGCCTTGTGTGTGTAAAAAGAAATGTAGGACTTTCCTAGAAGGATGTCATGAAAGAGTATTTAGGGAATTCTGGGATCTAGGATCCTATGACTTACAGAATAGTTACCGCGTTGGATGTATGCCGTTATCACCTAAGAAACGTTCCTATCATAAAAAACAAACTAAACAAGAATCTAGCAGACATTTAACGCTAAATAATTCGTGACTGTTGGTGGGAAACACATAAGGCTTTGTAAAATCGATTTTATGACTGTTCATGGTGTTTAATCCTCTCGTGGCAGGTTCAATAGACTGCTCAGTAACAAAATTCAGGAAGCTCAGACTGCAGGTAAGGGACTACAGGAGAGGAAAGCACAGTAATCGACCAAATCAGTTGAGTGAACACCAAAAACAATCAGTTCGAGACTATATACTGATGATACTAAAGTATAAAAGTCATTACAGTAGGACTGACAATTTTGAGAGATCCTATTTAAACTGTGATAGCCCATCGCTACACTTTACAAAAAGTTTTATGTTCCTTGGTGTCAAGAGCAAGGTATAAATGTAAATATTTTGTACGGGATTTAATATTGGATTTAAATTAAATTACCTAAATTTGCAAAACTTGCCACAATTTTAATTTAAAAATATCTAACAGTACAGTAGCTTGTAAAAATAATGAGGAGGAATTACAGGAACTAATAATACAGCCAAATTTGCACAAAACTAGAGCGGCTGCAATGCAAAGCTTATTAAAAAGCGAAGTAAAAGAATCTAAGATAAAAGCAGATAAATAGTGTCTATCCGAAACTAACCGCAGGACCAGCTTTTTACTGCCGAAAGATTTGGCTTTATAATCTGGGTGTTCATGACTGCACTAACGAACAAGGTTTTATATATTTGTGGACATGAGAAAATGCCAAAAGAGGAGCGGATGAGGTAGGGTCCATTTTGATAAAATTATTGAAAAATATTAAACCTGTGTGGAGGATCTTGTAATATCTATGGACAACTGCCCAGATTAAAACAAAAATTGGGTTAATTTTCTAACTAATCCGATTTATTGGCAAAGAAAAAAACAGTAAAGATTAAAATGATTAAGATTTTTTGGTACAATTATACATCGCGTTTACTTTAGCAACGTCTTTTTCGGATAAATCCCATCGTTGGCCAAAACTGTAACGTTTTCCATCCTACAAAGTATTTTATAAAAATTATTTAAAAAAATGAAATATTTTTGCTTACCTTAGCATCAATTGTGGTTCTCCCATTTTTGCTAAAAGCATATTGGCTGTAATGCATTACAGACTCATAATCGTAACCTATCCCGAAGCTATTTATAACCGAATCATTGTATTTTTTAAAGTTATCCTGCACTCCATCCTGGATATTTTCCCAATTTATCTTTACATAGTCATCACGATCGGTTCGACTTTGTTCGTGCAAAAATCCTGCTGTATGTAGAAGTTCGTGAATGGGAGTTCCAAGTGGATAAAAACAATCGGGATCTTGTAAATTTAACGGTTGACGTCCGCCGATTTTTCCAATATAAGAAAAACACACTTTATCATAACTGGTGATAAATAAGTAATCTTTATCGTTCTCGGTTTTTCGTCGAAATCTAATACATGTTTTATTTTCAATTATTTCCATTGCTGTTTTGAGAACGGAAAAACGAGACATATGGAAATCTGGTGCTAATTCGTAAGGAATTTTTGCGTTTGGCCAACGAAAATGATCGCCTAAGACCCCTGACCGTTTTCCTTTACCTAGAAGTATATCACCTTCGAACAAATTACCACGTTCTTCGGGATTTCCCGCTCGATTTTTTACCCATTCGGCAACTTTTTTGCCAGTTTCTACCGTGTCCACGGTTTTATCTTTGAATATGAATAGAATGATAAACGGTAAAAAGATCATTTTTGTCGGTTTAAAAGAGAAACTTTGAATATCTTTTGTGGGAGGAAAATGTTTTATATTATACACATAGTAGTAGGCAAATTTTTGGGGGGGATTCGTTCGAGGAGAGTTATGCGGTTATGATAAGATAACGAAAGCACCTTTGGAATTGTGTTTGGTATGCAATTATGTTAAAATAATGCTAACATAAGTAACTTTGGAAATGCATTAAAAAGTTTACTGAAACGCAAGTAGTCTTGGTATGTTAATAACTAACGTAAGTAACTTTGGAATTGCGTTCGAGGAGGAAAGGAGGTTCTTGAATCAACAAATTTTTTGGGGGTATTCGTTCGAGGAGAGTTATGCGGTTATGATAAGATAACGCCAACTAACGAAAGCACCTTTGGAAATGCGTTAACAAGTTTACTGAAACGAAAAAGTCTTGATATGCGTTTATGTTAATAATTAACGTAAGCAACTTTTGAATTGCTTTGGAATTTATGGATCTAGAACCTTTCTTATCTAACATATCAAAAAATGCACGCACTGACAAATGTAAAAAATTAGACTTTTCTAGACTCTATTCTTTCATTTTAAAGTAGATGCTCCAAAATTCTGGGCCGATATCCACATATTCAAGATTTTAACTTAATTTGAACGGATGCAAAAAAATTTCAAAAGTAGATTTAGTAAGGTCATATCATCAAATTCCTGTAGAAGAAGACGACATTCCCAAGACAGCTATCACCAGTCCTTTTGGTCTTTTCGAATTTACTCATATGCCCTTTGGCATTCGTAACGCTGCTCAGACCTTTCACAGATTCATAAATGAAGTTCCTTCGGGTCTCAACTTCTTATTTGTTTATTTAGATGACATTCTCATTGCAAGTCATAACGAACAAGAACATTATTTCCATCTCGAGAAATTATTTGAGCGGTTAAGTGCATTCAATATCAACATCCAACCATCTAAAGGTGTTTTTGGAGTTACTTCCATTGAGTTTCTTAGTCATATCACCAGCGACGGTATTTTAAGTCTAGGAAGTCTATTTCAAAATTTTCAAAACCAAAAACATTAAAGGAACTACAAAGATTTTTGGGCATGATAAATTTTTATCATAGATTTTTACCGAACATTTCCAATATTTTATCACCCCTACATAATCTTTCATCATCACTTTATTCACCAAAGCAAAAATTAATAACTTCTTGGTCAGACGAACATGAAATTTCCTTCACAACAGCTAAAGATCTTCTAACAAAATCTACCGTTCTGGCTCATCCATCCCCTCATGCTTCATTGTCACTTAACACAAACGCTTCTAATACAAGTATAGGAGCTGTTCTGACCTAAATTAGTTAGCATTTTGTTCTCATAAACATTCTTCGAGTCAAGTTAAATATTCAACTTTCGACAGAGAGCTATTGGCAATATATTCTGCCATAACATTTTTTAATCATTTCCTACATGGAAATCATTTTACAGTTTTCACCGACCACAATCCTGTAACTACAGCAATATTTACATAACACAATATACATCCGATATGAGATACATTACAGGAAATTCCAATATTGTTGCAGACACTTTGTCCATTGAATCCCTAAATTCTCGGTACCCCGACACACTTACACTTTACAAAGCTTAACTCACAGATATAGAATTGTCGAACCTATTACACAAACAATTTTCTCACACTTACACTACTCCCTATCAGTTATTGCTACAACCCACAACGCTACCTGATATCAAATCATGGCGTGAAATATCAACGGAATCTCCGCGAATCATCTCAACAAAATCATGTTTGCAATGCCAGAATTTTCAAAATGAAAGTTCCAAAATTTCGGTTTGAACACCTACACATTGATTTGGTTGGCCGACTCGCTCCATCCATTGTACTTATCTGCTCACGGTCATTGAGCGTTTCACACTGTGGCCAGAGGCAGCAGAAATATCTTTTAGAGGAATACTCTTTTCAGGCATTATTTCAGCCGTTTCGGTATTCCTACCACGATCACTCACGATCAAGGATGACAATTCGAATCACTATTATTTTCAAACTTCCAATTACCTTTAGGTACTCATCAAATACACCCATCTGATTATCACCCACAAAGTAACGGCATGATAGAACGATTTCATCGTACTTTGAAATCAGTGATTATTGCCCAAGGTAATTCCGCTAGGTGGAACCATAAGTTATCTTTAATACTATTTGGTCTCAGATCATCTCTGAAGGAGGATTTAGGTTGTTCATCCGCAGAATTGGTTTATGGTTGGCCACTCAGATGACCGGGAGAATTTTTCATATATACCCAACCATCAACTGAAACTAAACCATTATTATCAAGTATAAGAACATTTTTTGCTGACATTAAACCAGTTCAGTCAACCATACATTCCAGCCAAAAACCTTTTATACACAAAGAATTGTTCAGGTTAAACTTTGTATTTGTTATAATCACTGGTATTAAACCTACCTTGTCTCCTAGGTACGAAGGTCCCTTCAAAATGATTAAGAGATATTTTTCGTTATATTGAAAGGCAATAAAGAATTAAATGTAAACCTCGACTTGCTGAAAACTTTCATTGTTAATGATAACCCCTCATTTTGATACCGAGTTATTACAGAAAAGAAAAAAATCAGTACATTTTAGTGCGTCAGGAAGTAAGTGTAGCGTGCTATGGCACGCCAACTAATTATTATACAAGAAAACAAAAATAAAAAAGTTGAATAGATATGAAAAATAACAAGACAAGAAGTCTATAAAAAACGTTCTTTATAAAATTACCATAAATTTTTACACTCCCTGAGTTATAAAATGATTATTTATTAATACATTTTTTTGTTTATAACACAAGTTTTTTGAAAATATTGTAAAGGTTTGTCATTATAATATTACGTTCTACAAATCGGAAAAGTTCAACTTTTTTTAATGTAATTATGTGATAAGCCACATTTTTTCAAAAATAATAGTTACTTACGTAACCAGTTATGAAACAACTCACGTAATTTGCAAAACTCGCTCGGTTCGCTCGCTCGTTTTGGTAAATATTACGTTCGTCAAACAAAATTAGCCGTTTCATAACGTTTTAAGTACAAAATTTTATCTAATTCCATTGAAAAAGCAATTTTCGTTCAAAATTTGATTTATTCTATTAGTGACAGATGTCAATTTGTAGTTAGGTAATGGAATTCATTACATCACTACTATCGGTGCAAAAAGTCAAGGCCACTCACTTTAGAGATCGATATCTTCGCAACCGCTTGATAAAAGAAATTGCGACAAAGTTTGTTGTAATCACTGAACATTTCTACGTAACATATGTTAATTTGAAAAATTTCGGATCCACAGTTTTCCTTTTATCGCGAGTTAAAAGAAAAAAGTACGATTTTTTACGGTACCGGCAATTTTGTCAATTTTGCAATTTATTTTCTCCAAAACTATCGTACGAAAAAATTTTAATTTTGAAGTGGTGGTAGTTTGATGTGTTCTTAATGAGTGGCATATTTTATTTTTTCGATATTCCATACAATTTCGCGGAAAATCTCGGTTTAGTAAGACGCCGTTATATTGAAAACGGTTGGGTGGATTTCATCGCGGATTTGACCAAAATATGTCAAATAATGTCCGGACGTCGCGCCTTATTTCTTTATGTAGATATGATAAAGGCGCGACGTACTGTCTGGAACACAACATCTGTTCCGATTGGCCGGAACCCTCCTCTCCCCGCATAATTTATTTCTGTTTCTCTTTAATTTGTAATTCCATTAAATCGCTCTTAAAAAATTAGGGAGTCCTAATTTTGAAAAACTGATAACGGAATCCGACAACTGACATTATTTGACATATTTTGGTAAAAACCGCGTTGAAATCCGTCAGGTCGTTTTCGAAATAACTGCATCCTACTAAACCGCGATTTTCAGCGAAACTATATGGAATATCGAAAAAATAAAATATGCCCTACATTAAGAACATATCGTTTTACCACCAATTCAAATTTGAAATTTTTTCGTCAAATAGTTTTGGAGAAAAAAAATCGGAAAGTAGACAAAGTTGTTGGCATTCTCAAAAATCGGGTAATTGTTTCACTTAACTCGCGATAAAAGAAAAACCGTGGACCCGAAATTTCCAAATCCACATGTAATACGCAGAAATGTTCACTGATTACAATAAACTTTACCGCAATTTTTTCCATCGAGCTGTTACGAAGATATCGATCTCTAAAGTTTTAACTTTTTACACAGATAGTAGTGATGTAATGAAATCATTACATTACTAGTTATAAAAAAAAGTTACGTTACATAACGTCAAAAAGACATGTAATAGTTATTTATGTTACAAGTGGGCTAGAAACATAATTACTGTACGAGTGTGGAAAATCACACGAGTACTGTAATTATGCTCTAGCCCATGTGTGATATACAACATTTTATATACGACTGCTAAAAATTACTTAATAATCATTTTCTTTAAAAAGGTCTATTTTGACATTTATAAAAATATTTTGAAATGATTGTTGACAATTTTGAATTAATGTCCGTTTCAATAACATGTTTACTCATCTGGAATAAGTGTTTCGAAATGTAAAAACATAACAATTAATGTTTATAATAAATAGTATTGTTTCTCTTTAAATAGGTAGCACTTTTTTTTTGTATTGTTGCTCGTTTCAATGAATTAACTCTGTTCTGATTAGCCTAAAAATGCGCTACGTAATGAAATCAGTGCGGTAATGAACTTCATTACGTAACTCAAATCACCTCAAATGAATGTGGTGATGATTTATCCAAGCAGTCGTAGATTAAATTTAATTTTCATAATGACTGCGTAATCGCTGTAATCATAGATGTAAAAATGCGAAGAAACCATATATTTTTACCAGAAATTGACTGGGACTACTCCTAAGACGTTCTGGAAAACTTTAAGGTCTCTTGGTGTCTCTATTGAGGCATCTAATCTTATTTCTTCTAGCTTTTCGCTCACTGTGATTGATGGGGACGAGGTGTACAAGGCAGTTAGTTATTCTAGTTCTAACAGCGCCGGTGCAGACGGTATTAGCTTGAAACGGATCTTACCGATTCTTCATATTATTATGTCTCCGTTAACTCATTTTCCATTGAAACATCATCCTTTCCGTCCATGAGGAAGCTTGCGCATATTATGCCTATCCCTAAGTTAAAAACTCCAGTTTCTCCTTGTGACTTTCGTCCTATATCAAGTCTCTCTATCCTGTCAAAGGCTTTTGAGCGTATCGTGTATAATCAAGTATTTAATTATCTTGAGAAGCGTCGTATAATCAATGATTTGCAGTCTGGTTTTCGGCCAGGTCACAGTACTACAACTGCACTGATCAAGATGACTGATAATATAAGATACGCTTGTGCTAACCGACGTTTGACCTTGCTAATACTGCTTGATTTCAGTAAAGCCTTTGATTCAGTCGATCGTAATATTCTCTCATCTATCGGTTTTTCTCCTACTTCTTTGTTATGGTTCCGTTCCTACCTTTACCATCGGCTCTTATGCGTTCCCACTGACACAGGTCCTTCGTTCACTCACGAACTTCTTTGTGGGGTGCCCCAAGGAAGTGTTCTGGGTCCGCTGCTTTTCTCTATTTTTATCAATAGTATCACAAAAGTAATTTCTTCTAGTTATCATTTATAGGCAGATGACTTCCAGATTTACACCAGTACAACCATTAGTGAATTCCCTTTGGCTGTGGAGCGTCTAAATCGTGACCTTGCTAAAGTGCATGACTTGTATAAGCTTTTTGGGTTAAAGCTAAATGCTACTAAAACTCAAGCAATTGTGTTTGGTACAAATTCTTTTAAATAGATTACCCGCTTTTACTAATTCACAACTTATCCTCGTTGGCGTTGTCATAGAATTTTCGGATGTGGTGAAAAATCTGGGTGTTATGATGGATTCAGCACTGTCCTGGCACAATTTAAACTTCTTGTCAGCTCATAAAAGATCCACACGATCGCAATCCGATTCGTTACTCATGTTCCCAATACATCACACCAATACTTATCACAAGTCTTTTACATTGCAAGGGATTTCACTCTCTAACAATCTTCCTGCTGTCATTCGCAATGCTCCTAGCCTTCCATTTTTTAGGGTATCCCTTGCTCACCTATTGTTCTCTCGTCAACTCTCGTCATACTAAACTTTTTTTAAATGTTTGCGTGTTCTAAAATACTTTGCCTGTTTGCCTGAGAGTGAAGGAAATATACATGGAGACTATGACTAGGATAAAAGTGGGAGATAAGCTGAGCGACGTGTTCTGGACTACGAAGGGACTGAGGCAGGGATGTCCGCTGAGCCCAAGTCTGTTTGCACTGTATACGGCGGACCTGGAGGATAGATTGGGGAAGGGGCAAATGGGAGGGTTGGTGGTGGGAGGTAGAAAGGTGCATATGTTAACATACGCAGATGACATCGTAGTCATGGCGAGAGAAGCGGCGGAGATGAAAGATATGATAAAGACATTGGAAAGATATTTTAGGGGGAAGGGGCTGGAAGTGAATGTGGGGAAGACAAGGATGATGAAATTTTGTAAGGGTGGGAGAAAAAGAATAGAAAACTGGAGATGGGAGGGAAAAGAGATCGAGGAGGTTAGGGAGTATACTTACTTGGGGTATGTGTTCAGGGAGGACAACAGGGAGGGGTCGCATGTGATAGCTATGGCAAAAAAGGCGAATAAGGTGATGGGACAAGTATGGGGTTGGAGGAAGAGAGTTTTTGGAAGGAATGTGGCAGCGAGGAAGATTATGTTTGAAGGCCTGGTTAGCAGTGTGATGATGTATGGAGCAGAGGTATGGGGATGGAGAGAACAGGCAATGCTGGAGGACGTGCAAGCTAGATACTGGAGATGGGTGCTTGGGGTGGCGAGAGAAACACCGGGGTATATAGTGAGGGAAGAGGTAAAGGTGGATAAGGTCAGAGTGGAGGCGGGCAGGAGAGCAGTGAAATATGAAGAAAGAATAGAAGGGAGGCCAAACTGCGGGATCTTGGGGGAGTGTTGGAGGGAAATTAGAGAGGGAAAGATCAGATATGGGAAAGGAGACAGAGACAACTATTATAGACGAGCGGGCTACTCGGTAACTGAGATAAATAGTAGACGAAGGGTGGGTAGGGAGATGTGGAGGGAGTTGAGAGATAGGGACCGAGATGTGCAGAGACAGGAAAGAAGGACACAAATAAAAGAGGGGAGGTATAACGAAAGGTACAGGGACATAATTACGGAGGGGCTGCCTAGATACTTGTTATTGGAAAGAGATGAGGAAGGGAAGAAGTTGGTGGCTAGGTTCCGTTGTGGAAACGAGGAGAGAGCTAGCAGATACTGCATGGCCGATGAGGAGAGGTGGTACAGGCTATGCAGGGAGGAATGGGAAACGTTGGAACATATGTTGAATGGGTGCAGTGAGTTGAGGGAGGAGGAGTTGGACCGAGGGCAGATCTTAGAAGAGGGGGGAGAGGGGAAACGATGGATGAGAATGGTTGTGGGGGTAAGGAGACAGAGGGAAGGATGAGGGGATGATTGGGCCGAGGAGCCTAGGGTATGGAAATGGAGGAAGAGGGTAGAGGGTGAAAATAATATACTAATAATATATATTAGAATGTATTAAGGGGATAAAAATTGTAAATATTAAAAACAATAAAATGCTTATTATTATTATTAAATACTTTCCCTGTTCACGTTACTGTAATTCGTTTCTTCTTATCAATGTTCCCTTTGCTTTCCTTGTCGGATTCTTATTCCATATTGGATTATTATTTAAGTTTATTAATTTTGTTTTATTATTTGGAAGATATCGTCGTGGGCGATAAATTGACTCATTTGCCTATAATAATTATGTAATAATATTGATTGTGTTTCCATTTTTTTGCAAATCTATTTTGTAATTATTTATGGCAATAAATATATGTTATAACTAAGAGTTGTAACATTGTTTCTGTAATTTTCTTTAGTTAAATATATGCCGTTGATGTAAACCAAATTTGATTTACCTAGAACTATTATTTAAAAAGTTACTAAAAAAGTATTCCCCTAATTTTGTTGAGCAGTATATATAAAATTCCACTCTTTGATTAAATATTGATCTTCACGATAAAATTTTAAATTCCCTTTGAATTATTTATCACCCCCGTTCTGTTTTAGATGTAAATCCGTCTCCATTTGGATCTCACGATCATGATTTATCTCCTCGTGTTCGTAATATTAGGGTTTCGCACGGTAACAGATCGAATACACGATAAGGATTTCTAATCGTGACTGCGGAGGAAGGTGTTGGCACGCTGCCAACCGATCTAAATGATTTTCGCTGAAAACCAGTCAATTTCGCATACGGCTTCGAATAGGCCGCAAAGCTGGTTATGTATTCGTCACGATTTCGTTTAATTTTCTAACTAATCCGATTTAGGTATTCGCAAGGAAAAAATAATAAAGTTTAAAATGATTGCGTTCATTTAAAGTTTATTTTGAAGATTGTTAATTAAGATTTTTTGGTACAATTATACATCGCGTTTACTTTAGCAGCGTCTTTTTTGGATAAAGTCGATCGTTGGCCAAAAGTGTATCGTTTTCCATTTTTATCCTACAATGTATTTTAAAAAAATTATTTTAAAAAATGAAATATTTTTGCTTACCTTAATATCAATTGTGTTTTTCCCATTTTTGCTAAAAGCATCTTGGCTGTAATGCAATACAGACTCATAATCGTAAGCTATCTGGAAGCTATTTACAATCGAATCATCGTATTTTTTAAAGTTATCCTTTTTTCCATCCTCGATATTTTCCCAATTTATCTTTACATAGTCATCACGATCGGTTCGACTTTGTTCGTGCAAAAATCCTGCTGCATGTAAAAGTTCGTGAATCGGAGTTCCAAGTGAATATAAACAACCAGGATGTTGTAAATTTAACTGTTGAGATCCGCCGCGTTTTCCAATATAAGAAAAACAACCGTTATAATAACTGGTGATATATAAGTAATCTTTATCGTTATCGGTTTTTCTTCGAAATCTAATACATGTTTTATCTTCTATTATTTCCATTGCTTTTTTGAGGAAGGAAAAACGACGCGAATAAAAATTTGGTGCTAATTCGTAAGGAATTTCTGCGTTTGGCCAACGATAATGATCGCCTAAGATCCCTGACCGTTTTTCTTTACCTAGAAGTATATCACCTTCGAACAAATTACCAAGTTCTTCGGGATTTCCCACTTGATTTTTTACCCATTCGATAACTTTTTCGCCGGTTTCTACCGTGTCCACGATTTTATCTTTGAATATGAATAGAAAGATAAACGGTAAAAAGATCATTTTTGTCGGTTTAAAAGAGAACCGTTGAATATCTCTTGTGGGAGGAAAACGCTTTCTTTTATATTATACACTTCTTTTTATTGGGTTATTATGTCAGAAATTTTTAAAGTAATTGTGGGGATTAAAAGGAAATAAACTTAAAATATTTCTTTTTATTTTTATGTTTGGATAAGTGGAGTATTTTTTTTAATTACAACATTTTGTAATTAATTTTTAAAACCCATAAAACTTATCACTGTGTTCACTATGTATGATGACTTGTATGATAACTTAATTCCTTTTGATTTTTTAAAAGTTTTCCAGTAAGTGCTCAATCTATGATATGATGATTAGAAATAATTACTAGAAATTCCATTAAGTTGTAAGTATCAATTGTTAAAGAGTAATCTGTTATCTATTTCGCTTCTTAACAAACGTTTTAATTTTTTTTTCATTTTGTATACAAACTTTACTAACTTCTTGTTGGCAGGCAACCAACAAGATCGCATAGCTTGAAAATTTCTGTATTAGCGATAAATTATCATGATATCATCATGATTGCCTTCCCAATTCATTTCAACATCGATATTATTGCTTCATCTGATAGATCACAACAAAATGCCGAGTACTTGCTTGCTGATGTGGCAGTGGCTAGAAGCTTCATGCTGTTGGGCATGTTTTACTGCCCACCGAACTTACATTACTTTGATCAGTTAGAGGGTGTACTGGAGAGGCACACTCTTAATTACGATACTACTCTTCTCATCAACAACTTCAACACTTGTCTCTTAAGGAGCGACCTACGCTGTGAAAAACTGAAATTCATCACATCTTCACACCTCAATATTTCTATTTTGCCTACCCACCTACATACCATTTACGTGGACCTTATTATAACGTCCTGCCCAGGCAGCATACCTTCTCATAAATCTTAAAGGATTCATCTCAATCCTTCCTATTTTGGAAGTAATCATTCATCCACTACTCCACATATTTAACTTCTCCATCGTCCTTCACTTCTATTTGAAAACTAGCTTATGTTGTACCCATACTTAAACTTAGTCTAAGTGATTTTCGTCCTGTATTTATTATTTCCGTAATTTCTAAAGCGCTTGGTGTATAGGCAGGCACAACGGTATTTGGATGAGCACAAAACTATCACTGATTTTCAATCTGGTTTCCGAGGTCATAGCACACTTACCAAAATTACTGATGATATTAGACGTGGTTGTGATGACCGGCGCTTGACCGTATTGGTTTTGTTTGACTTCAGCAAGGTATTTGATTCTGTTGATCATAGCTTGTTGGTGGCAATCCTATTTTCTGTAGATTTTTCGCCGAACTGTGTCGCTTGGTTTCAATCATACCTTTCTAATCGTTTCTTGTGTGTACGTGACTCCTCACCATCCTCCTCTGTATTGACAAGCCGTTGCGGTGTGCCTTAGGGCAGTGTTTTGGGTCCAATTCTCTTTTCCGTTTTCATAAATTGCATTACTAAGATAATTAAGTGCAACTTTCACCTATATGCAGACGACATCCAAATTTATACATCTACAGTTGTGGATGAACTTCCAGCAGCGGTAATGCGGCTTAATAGGGATCTTGCTAGTTCTAGACTGTTTTAGATACTAAGGCTTGAATTTGAATACAACAAAGACTCAGGCTACTGCTTTCGGATCAAGACCTTTGCTAACGAAATTTTACATCAATAATACCCATCTAACACTTAATGGTACCATTATACAATTCCCTCAAACAGTTAAAAACTTGGGGATAATGATGGTGGATTCTGCATTGTCCTGGCAGCACCAGAAGGTTTATTTCTGTTTCTAATCCCTACTAAACTTGGTTGTTTCCTTCCACCTATTGTTCGTCGCAACCTCTGTTACTCTTTAATTCTTCCCCATTTGGACTATGGCAATGCCGTGTACCCAGGCCTCTCAATGAGTCTCCTTACTAAATTAGAGAGGTTACAAAATAATTGTCTGCGCTTTATTTTCGACCTGAGAAAGTGTGACCATGTTGAGAAGAATGTAGATCCTTTCACATATTAACTACCTTATACAAGATACTTTCCTCTCAATCTAAAATTGACCTATTCACTGCATTTCAGTTCATGGTATCTCGCGGTCTTCCTACTAGAGCACAGTCTGATGTCTCACTTATGTTGAAATATATCACAGATCTTTCACTGTACAAGCTATAACTCTGTGGAATAATTTACCCACAAAATTGCGTAATACTCGTAGCTTTTCCGTATTCAAAGCTTCCCTAAGAATTCACCTGTTGTTTCTACAGTTATCTGAGACTGATTTTTGATGTCATCTGCTTCTACTCTTTACCTTCTTCAGCTGACAGCTGTATATTGTATTAGCTCAGCTGGAATAGAACTCGGTTGAACCAATACCAGAAGACAATGGATTTTATTTAATGAAGTCGAAGTCGTTTGCGGTTGAGGCTTGTTAATTGATATCGTTTTAAAACAAAGTTACCCATCGTATTGCATACCTCAGCAGGAATAGATATTAGCTAAACTAAGGCTGGAGAAAGATGGATGTTATTTAATTAAGCCGAGGTTGCTTGGAGCCGAGGTTCAGCAATTGATATAGTATTAAAACAAAATTGCCCAGCGCATTGTAACATCCCAACTAAACAAAGCTAAACCTTCTCATTCTTATTGAAGATCTGTCGATCTTCAGTAACAATAAGAATTCTGTTGTAATTCAGTTAGTATTAGTAAGATTCAGTTGCATCACCTCAGCAGGAATAGAAGATTGGTGATACCAAAGCCAGATAACAATGCATTTTATTTAATTAAGCTGAGGTGCTCAGCATTCGACATAGCGTTCAGACAAAGTAGCTCAGCGCATTGCATCATCACAGCAGGAATAAACATTCCTATTCAACGCTGATCTAATAAACCAGGCCTTTATGAATGATATGTCCCAAACATCCTGTGATCCGTCAGACATGGTAAAACTAACTAACATGGTAACTGATATAGATAATGATGTAGTTTTCCGTTTGATAACTGAAATTAAAAGTAAATCTTCGGATACAGATGGTATTAACATAAATATGCTTAAATTGGTTACCCCTCAGTTTTTGAAATATATGAGTCATATCGTAAACGAGTGCATTCGAACAAATTACTTATCTAGTGCTTGGAAATCGGCACCAGTGCTTCAAATTGTATATAATCAATTAAGACAATATCTTAATGACTATGCCATTCTTCCTGAGTGTCAATCCGGTTTAGACCCCAAACGTAGTTGCATTACTGCTTTACTAAAAATTACTGACGATATCATTTATGCTAAAGGTAACAATAAATTTAGTTGAAAGAGTTATCCATGTTGCAAGATTAATAATCAAATAAAAACCATGTAAAAACTTCTAACTTGCATTTATTTATATCAAGTCGTACTACTTTCGGGTTATCCCATCATCAGCGACAAAGTCAATGAAGCTATAATAGGTGTAGACTGGAAATCAGATAAGAATAAAGCATTTTGCTATCTGATGGATAAACAAAATGAAGATAAAAGATTTTTGTTTTTCTATGTATGTATTTATCATCCGTATAAAAAAAATTTTCGCAAAAATGCAAAGGGGGTGGTTACGTTTAGTAGTTTAGAAGGGTAGGTTGAAAGTACAAATAGGGTCAAAACGTGCCTTATTATGAGTTAAACATATTCCCTAAATGTCATTTTCCTAGCGTTTATGGTTTTTGAAAAAAAAAATTAAATCAAAATTTTCCGCCATTTTTGAAGGGGTGTAGCTCCCATGGTTCATATATCAAAGTACCCTTAAAATTCACTAAAGAATCACCCCTTGAAGTTTGTTGCAGTCATTCAGATACACCTTGTATATTGGGACTGTTACTGTTTTGTGTTGATACCGCGTTTTTATCTAAAACCATTCACTTTTGTGACGTACATATGTTTGCAGACGATACGGAATTGTATTTGAGATTTGAACGAGATGATCTGGAAGATGGTGTGGATAAGATTAATACTGATCTAGCAAACTTATCATGATTTGCTCGAGCGTGCTCTTTAATTTTGAATCCTGACAAGAGTTTAGCGGTACTGTTTGGGAGCATAGGGGGGGGGGGTTGAAATGTTAAAAGACTCACTGAATATTAACCTCAATGGGTCGCGCATACCAATTACTTCAGCATGGAAAAATTTTGGTCTTATCATTGATAATAGCTTTCGATTTCGAACTGCTTTTTGCAATTTGAAGCTGCTTAATGCCCGGTTCACATTCCAGTAGCAATGTGAACCTGGAGTAATCTGAACCGGCACTGGAATGTACCCATTCCAGTAAGCAATCCACTCCAGTGACTGGATCGACGGTCTACTTTTTCATTCCAGCTTGCTCATTCCAGCACTACTGGAATAGTGTAGACCGCCAATCCAGTGCTGGATTGCGAATTCTTAATGAATCAATTAAGAATCGACTGGACTGGATTGACTAGCTGGATTACTAGACTGGAATAATGTCAACTATATGATCCAGTCCAGCACTGGACTGGATTGACTTGCTGGATTACTGTACTGGAATATTGTGAACCCTTACACCAATATTTTTAATATAAAACTTAAAACTACTTTGTGAGAAAGTATGGTTCTGTCTTTGGTTAATTATTGCTTGCCTATTTATGGCCCATGTGTGCATTCTGTATATCTATTTTTATTTATCCTATCATATGTATATTTGTGGAGAATAAACGCCATTATTATTATTATTATGTATATTATTTAAATCCGATGTTGCAGCTGAGGCTCATTAATTGATATCGTGTTAAAACAAAGGAATAGACATCATCTAAACCAAGCTAAACCTTCGTATTCTTATTTCAGATCTGTTGATCTGCTAATTCAAGTTGTTGCCTTTGCACCAACGCCTTTGGTTGTATTTATTTTGTGGTCTTATTATTACCATTTCCTTAGAATACCAGCTGTCTCGCCATCTC